TCGACTTCTGAAAGTCAGGATGAATAACTGTATGTTGCTCTCTATTATAACAGCCAGAAGGCAGAAACAGTTGTCCTTCCTGGTGTGGTTATCTCTGCTAAACATGCTGGATGTCCCTAATGACTCCCACAGTGTCAGCAGCCAGGATCTAACACCTACCTCAGTCCCCTGATAAACAGCCATCCCTCGGCCACAAATAATGACATTCTTTTACATGCTCTAACAAGTGTGCACTTCCAATTCATTATACTATGCAACACGAGCCAGTCACACAAGCAGAAGCTCACAGCTTATTCCACTTGAACAACGATGTAAGAATAGCCCAGCTTCAGGAGGGGAAGAGGTGGCTCAGTGGTTAAGACCACGTATTACTCTTCCAGAACACTCAAGTTCCATTCCCAGAACCCACACTGGTTGGCTCACAACCTTCCCTATAGTTCAAGATCCAGGGGTCCAGTGCCTCTGTTCTCCACTGGTCCCTGCAGTCACATGCACCCCCCATAACTAAAATAATAATAAAAACTTAAAAAGAAGATTGAGTTAATTATTACCAGGAAACATTTTACCCATTTAATTCAGGCTAATAGAACATGAAAATAGCATAGATGTTACTAGAGTCTGTGGGAGACAGGGGATGAGATTTTTGTATAATGGACTATCAGCCTCTGTCTAAGGTGAGGATGAGGTTGGAAAACAGTGCTGATGGCTGCATGGTATTAGAAAGTAACCAACGATGCTGAAACAACTGAAATCATTCAGATGGAAAGTTTAGATTACAGGAATTTGGCTACAGTTTGAATATAATCTACCCTGCAGGGCTCTCTGACACCATGGCCAGCCAAGTAACCGTCCCAGGGAGACAAGAAGGCAGTTTGGTTCAACAGGACTCAGTAGCAGTGCTTGTTCAGACTTCAAGCGTATCTTAGGCATATTCAGTCACAGCACAGTTTGGTAAAATGTTTCCTGGTAATAATTAACTCAATCCCATGTGTACAAGCTTAAGACAGGACTACACCCAAACTCTTGGTAAAGCAGAAGGCATATCTTCCATAAAGTTAAATTCTATAGATGACAGAGAAAACAAGCTTAGAGTAAGGGTCTGGGGAGGAGCTGGTGTGGTTTCAGTCACACAGACAGTGCAAAGGTCACCAGACTATTAGAGTATGTCTGCTCCCAGCTTTCTGAGTTTTTTGTTTTGTGTTTTAATTAATTATTTTTTTTCTTCAGCTTTTCAAGATAGCGTTTCTCTGTAGCTTTGGAGCCTGTCCTGGAAGTAGCTCTTATAGACCAGGCTGGCTTCAAACTCAGAGATCTGTCTGCCTCTACCTCCCCAGTGCTGGGATTAAAGGCCTGTGCCACCACTACCACCCAGCCCCTTCCCAGGTTTCTGAGTGGAAAACAGCTTATACATCCCTCTTCCCTTTGAAGAGACAACCCTGTGTGTTTAATATTCCTGATTCCTGTACTTATCTATGAGTACAGGACCCCCATGCCTACTACACTACCCAAATAATTTTTAGTACAGTTGAAAATTTTCTTTTTCTTTTTTTATTTGTGTGTGTGTGTGTGTGTGTATCTATGTGCCCTTGCCCTCCAGTACCAGAACAGGGCACCAGATCCCCTAGTTACAAGCAATTGTGAACTGCCCAATTGGGTGCTGGAGCCATCCAAACTCAGGTCCTCTAGAGGAACAGAAAGTATTCTTAACTCCTGAGCCATCTCTGCAGCCCTAGATTCATACAAATCTTTTTTTTTTCTTTTTGATTTTTTGATACAGGATTTCTCTGCAAAGCCCTGGCTGTTCTGAAACTCACTCTGTAGACCAGGCTGGTCTCAAACTCACAGACATCTGCCTGCCTCTGCCTCCTGAGAGTTGGGATTAAAGGCGTGTGCTAACACTTGTCCAACTGGAGTCATACAGTTTAAAGGAGGGAATTCTTTTATTTGTTTGTTTGTTTGTTTGTTTATTTATTAGTATACAGGGTTCTTCCTGCACATATCCCTGCAGGCCAAAAGAGGGCACCAGATCTCACTACAGATGGTTGTGAGCCACCATGTGGTTGCTGGGAATTGAACTCAGAACCTCTGGAAGAACAGTCAGTACTCTTAACCTCTGAGCCATCTCTTCAGCCCAAGGAGGGAATTCTTATACTATATGAATTTATCTCAATGAAACTCTTTAAATATAGTCAAAGATTGGCAAAATTAATTATCAGTTAAATGCCTCTAAAGAGTTAACTTTACTAGCCATTCATTCTCAGAAAATAAATCTTTGTGGGGGTGAGAGTGGGGAGAGAGCTCAGAGGATAAAAGCTCTGGTTGCTCTTACAGAGGATGGGCATTCAGTTTCCAGCACCCACATGATGACTCAGACCATCTGTAATTCCAGTTCCAGAAATCTGATTCCCTCTTCTGGCCTCTGCAGGTACTGCATGTGGTGCACATACACAGGCAAAACACATTTATAAAATTTAAAAGCCTTAAGAAAAAGTTTGCATCCTTTAAATATTTGTTTCTGCATGTTACAGAAATGATTTGAAGTGTTCTGTTTGGGGACTGGAGGGATGGCTCAGTAGTTACGAGCACTGGCTACTCTTAGAGCTAGGGTCTAGTTCTCAGCTCCTACAGCGGCTCACAACCACCTGTAACTCCAGCTGCAGGGGCCCAGTGTCCACTTCTGGCTTCTGCAAGCACTAGCTATGCACATGAGGTACAGATATACATGAAGGCAATAATAAAGTAAAATAATAAACAATAAAGGTGATATGTTTGGGTGTCAAATTAACAAAGGGTGGTCTTGGGTTGCTTAACTTTGATGACCTAATTGATTAGATTAAGAAATTCCAAGGCACTGTAGAGAGATGGTTCAGTGGTCAAAAACACTTGTTGTAGCAGAGGTTCCCATTTTGATTCTCAGAACCCCATGTTGGGCAGCTCACAACATCTGAAACTCCAGTTCCAGGGGATTCAACACCATCTTCTGGCCTCTGCATGAACCTGCAAACCTGTGGTATACATTTACACAGGCGCACACACACACACACTCCTAAGTAAAAATAAGAAATATTAAAAACGCAGCTTATAGGCATTTCTAAGACATATTTCTGGGTGCGTCTATGAAGATGCTTCCAGAATTGGCTAAATGACAAGAGGAATACCCACCCTGACTTTGGGCAGCAGCATCCCATGAGCTGGAGATTCAGAACAAAAGGGAAATGGAGGAAGCTACCTGAGCCCCACCATTCCACCTGCTTCCTAGCGGGCCACGAGCTAACTCCCTGCTCTGAGCTCCTCGCCATGCTGGACCGAACCCTCTGACTCCCTGAGCTGAAATAAACAAAGGTTGTCTGTGCCAGGTAATTTTATCTCAGTGACAAAAAGAAATGAATGCAGGTCTGGAGATGTGGCTCAGTCAGGAAGGACACTTGATCTATGGGCATAACAACTGGTGTTCAAACACCCACCACCCATCCACAAAGCCATGCATGGCTGCATGGGCCTGCAACTGCAGCACTGCAGACACAGGTGGACCCCGAGTGTTCATTGTCTGCCTGGGCAAAATAGCAGGGTTCTTCTTGTTAAGGGAGGCACCATCTCAAGGCAGTAAGACACATAGTGATCGTGGCGGTTTAAAAGAGAATATCTCCCAAAGGCTCGTGTATTTGAAAACTTGGTTTCAGTCCACAGTGCTGTTTGGGGAGGCTTAGGAGGTGTGGCATTGCTGGTGGAAGGAAGTCACGAGGGGCAGGCTCTGAGAGTTTAACGATTTCAGCCCCCTTTAGTTTGCACTCTCTTCCTTAATTTTCTCTTTCTTTTTTTCTTTTTTTTTTTTGTTTTTTTTTTTTTTGAGGCAGGATTTATTTGTGTAGTCCTGGCTGTCCTAGAACTCAGGTTTGTAGACTAGGCTGGCTTTGAACTCCCTGAGATCCACCTGCCTCTGCCTCTGGAGTGCTGGGATTAAAGGTGTGCATCACCACACCTCACTCTCTTTACTAAAAAATATTGTATATGGACTGGAGAGATAGCTCAGCAGTTAAGAGCACTGGCTGACCTTACTGAGGGCCTAGTTCAATTCCCAGCACCCACATGATGGTTCACAACTGTCTACAGCTCTGGGTCCAGGGGATCCAACACCCACGTCTGCCCTCCAGGTAGGTAGAGCTACATAGACATAAATGCAGACAAAGCACCCATCCACATTCTTAAAAAAAATTGTGTGCATGTGTGTGCAAATACGTGTGGGAGCGTGTGTGTGTGTGTGTGTGTGTGTGTGTCGGGGAGCCCCGATGGTCAGTTGTCTTCCTTAATTGTCTATTGTGGGCAGTCTCGGAAGCCAGTTTTCCTGTCACCATCCCCGCCCTTCTTGTCAACTCTTAGGTGAATTCTGCGAATCCAAACTCCAGTGCTCACGCTCGTGTATATCAATCGCATCCAAGCGCGTTATCCCCTGAAATATCAACTGCGAATTCACTTTAGCAGAGGATGACCTTGAACGTCTGATCTTCCTGTCTCTACCTCTCAAAAGCTGGGCCAAAGCATGCATCCCCCGGCGCAGGCACGCTAGGCAAGCGCTCTACCAACTGAACTACACCCTCTGCTCCTGTTTTTCCTTTTCTATTATTTTGAAATTGTGAAATTACAGAAATTCTACAGTTTATAAACTCCCAAAGGCAAGGAAACACCGAGCTGTACTCCAAGCGGTACTTACTGAGCCACACGGTCATTTCCATAAGGACTCAGTATTGAACAAGACCACACCCGGGGACTGGATCCAGTTCACCAAACATCTGGGCCGCGGTAATGGCGGGGAGCGAGAGAGATTGACAAGAGTATCGGGTAGCTGAGGCACTGAGGCCGAGGGATTCGCAGCCAGGAGCTCACGGGCTGCCCTGGCGCTCGGCGCAGGGGTTTGCCTGGCCTTAAAGAAGTCCCGCGTCACGTGATCCGGGGGCGGAACCAGCGCGGTCCGGCTCCTGCGGAACGTGCACGCTCTCGGTTTTGCTTCCCGCCGGAGGCTTTTGCGGAACTCCCCGGGTCCCCGGAGGGGGAGGGGGGCCAGTGGCGGCAGCTGGGGCTGCAGAAGCAGCCCAGGGGTCCGGAAGTCAACATCATGTCGAGTCTGCACAAGAGCCGGTAAGGAGACCCGAGGGCAGGACTGTGTCTAGACCGCGCCGGCCGGGCCGCGCCTTCTCCCCGACCGAGCTGCTCAGCGCATGTGCGGCCAAGAATAGCCCCCACCCCCGGCGGAGGGTCCTCTGTGCCCACTTCTCAGCATCATTGCCTGTGTGGCAGTGAGGAGAAGCAGAGATGCTTCTCTAACGTTGGTGTCACCTTTTTTTTCTCTCTCACTCTGGACCCCATTCCCTAGTGTCTTCCTCTTCCAGACCTATATTACCCTCCCCACTTCCTGGCTCCAGGATCCTCTTCCCCTAATACTCCTTGCTTATGGGAAACACTAGAGAGAACCCGAGGTCCCTAGTCTAGCCTCTTAATCGTGTCCCCCGCACACACCGCGTCGGCTAAATTTTGCTCACTCCAGGACTACTTTTTAGTCTTTTGTCCTTGCCTGAGGACAGGCCCAAGAAGTCTGTGCCCCCTCCCCCTTCTCCAGCCAAGAGAGCTGTGAGAATGGTGGAGAAACTGTTCAGGGCCCTTGTCTGTAGATCAAATTACTCCTGGTTGCGAAGCTTGGTTGTGTGAATTCAGGTAGTGGTGTGGTGTGGACTGGGCTTGGCCACAGCAAGTGTCTAGAAAATGCCAGCTCACCACCAGTAGAAAGTGCTTAATGTTAAGGTTTCATACCTTTTTGACTAGAACACCTTTTGCTCTTTGTTGACTTTGCAGATATTAGAGGATTGTCCACCTCCCTAAGCTTGGGGTTGGAGACTGTTGGGGTGAGGGATCTGTGGGCTGCCTGTTTGTTACCTTGGGGTTTCCTTTTCTGCCCTTGAAGGATTGCCGATTTCCAGGATGTCCTGAAGGAGCCTTCCATTGTGCTGGAGAAGCTTCGAGAACTCAGCTTTAGTGGTAAGGCACAATTTTCCTCGGGGTTTCCTTGGAATAGCTTTATGGCCAAGATGAAGGGGAGAGCATCAAGACGATACCCAGAGAGAGAGAGAGACTGATTTCATAGAGCTGCCTGGATGTCGTAGGAGTGGTAACCTACGACGCATCTGATTCCCCAGATTCCCTGATGTAGCCTGCAGATTGAAATAGGGGTGACCTTTTGAGCCTAGGCGAAGCGTTTGTCATTTCTCAACTAGTTTCCTGAGTTTCAGAAGTTGCAGGATGGTTCCTGATTCTTCTACCTAGCTTTGAAGCAGAGCTGAGAGTGACCTTTGGTTAATGCTAAAACTCAAGCCTTAGAACACCTACTCTAAGGAGCTGAACATCAGCCCCGTTTGACTTTGCCCTTCCTCACATGGTCAATGTTCCAGCACAGAGATAACTGGGTTTTTACCCTGTCTGTAAAAACACCCCAAGGTGTTTGTTTAGCTCTTTGTGGCACTGCTTTGCCGATAACTCTGCCAGGAAGGAGTTGAAGTTGCCTGGGTCATGTAGATTCTGAGGTCACGGTGCCAGGGAAACCCTCATCAGAACTGTTCCTGGGAGAGTTGGGGAAGCACTGCAGAAGTTGCCTTTTCTTTTCTGGAGCAGTCTGTGGTGCTTATGCCGAGCTGGGGCTGCTCAGTACACCTTGGCCGCTCTGTCTACAGATGAGTTTCTCTATCTGTGAGCAAGGCTGCAGGAACTAATCTTCCTACTGTCTGGAACTAAAGTGGGAATTAAGTGAAGTCATGGCTCTCTGGCACAGGGCTCGCAACCTGACAGCTTGGTTTGCATTTCACAAATGTGAACGCTGTTTGTGACCCATGTCCTGCACTAGGCCTAGGTGTGTCAACAGACAAACGTGCTTCCTGTCTGTCTGCGCCCCTCCATTCATAGACACTACACACATTGCATTCATACTCAAGGTTTCATATGTTTCCAGTTGTGATGGGTATCATAGAGAGCCATAGAGCCATTGCTCATAAACAGAGACACCGATGCCCAGCATAGTGGTTCACAATTTTAATGCCAGAACAGGAGGCAGAGGCAGGCAGATCTCTGTGAGTTCGAGGCCAGCCTGGTCTACAGAGTTCCAGGACAGGCTCCAAAGCTACACAGAGAAACCTTGTCTTGAAAAACAAAAAACAAACAAACAAACAAACAAAAAAACCTAAAAAAATAAAAAAACAGCCTTCTACATAGTGAGTTCCCACACAGCCAGAGCTATGGAGTGAGACCCTGTCTGAGACTGGGCATATTGTTTGGTTCATAGAGTATCTGCCTAGCATGAAGAGAGCCTTGCTTTTAAATCTTAGCACCCATAAACTAGACATAGTGGCCAAACACACCTGTAATTCTGCTACTCAGAGAATGGAGACAAGAAGAACAGAAGCTCCTCCATGGCTCCATAGTAAATTGGAGGCCAGCCTGGGCTACATCAAACTCTGCTCCTTCTCCCTGAGTAAGAGCTGGGCTTTGACTAAGAGTTGGTGGTTGATGATGGCCTCCTTGAAGAAGAAAAATCAAAGATGAGAAAGTTCAAAGAACATTCAGACAGATGAGGTTCTGGGCTGGGGGACAGAACCGTAGGCAGAAATTAGTTAGCATCCTGCTTAGACGTTTCTTTGGTGAAGAGTGGTCCCCAAAGTGCTTCCTGCTCACTCCACTTCCTGCCAACTGGCTCAAGGTGTAGGGCTGGGGGGATTCTGGAACTCTGGCTTGGGGTGACCTTTGCCTGCTGTGTCCACAGGCATTCCCTGTGAGGGCGGACTGCGGTGCCTCTGCTGGAAGGTGGGTGTGCCTGGGGTGGGGCTTCTTGGTTTTGGGGTCTCCTGGGTCTTGCATGGTCCTCTCCCGCCCCTCTTCTCGGCTCCTTTCCTTGCTTGTCTGAGGAAGGGTTTCTGGAAGTTGAGGGGTGTTGTGTTCTCTTGGCATCCTCTCCAGGATTCATTTGGGGATGGACCAATTCATAATGCCAGTGAAGATTTCCACTTCCTGGTGCATATGTGCATTGGAAGGGATGCTGATTGAAGATTTCCACTTCCTGGTGCATATGTGCATTGGAAGGGATGCTGATTGGGACAAGGCTAGTTTCCCCGAAGCCACTGCCTGAGGTGGTGGCAGCCTCTGTTCCTGGTTGCCAGCCCTTCAATGCCACCAGTTTCTCTTCTCATTTAGAAGAGTCTGTGTGGAAAACAGAGGGAGGGGCCAGCTAGGGCTAGGAGGAGGAGGGCTACTCTTCAGACCCGAGCTCCTGGGTTGCAGCCACCTTGCCTGTTGAGGGTTTCATGAAGCCTTTCTTCTGAGGCCTGCATGCCTCCACTGCTGTCCGGGATGGACAGAGGGATGTTGCCAGAGCTGTGCTGTTCTCTGTGCAGATCCTCCTGAACTACCTCCCTTTGGAGAGAGCCTCATGGACTTCCATCCTGGCCAAGCAGAGGTGAGACCTGTGCACTCCCACAACCTGTCTGCTTCCTGAGGGTGCTTCTCTGGACTCATCATTCTCCTCTGCTCTCCTCTCCGGCAGAGGGCTCTATTCTCAGTTCCTGAGGGAAATGATCATCCAGCCTGGCATCGCCAAGGCCAACATGGGTGTATCCAGGGAGGACGTGACCTTCGAAGATCATGTAAGTAAGGTTGGCTTCAGGGGCTGAGGGTGCACAGAGAGAGGGCAGAGGCTTGGGCCCAGGTGTGGACCCCTTGCTGAAGGACAGGTGGGCCTGGCCCGCTTTCCTGTCAGGTCTTCCCGCTTCATTGGGTCGCCCACTCCTTGGACACAGTGGTGTCTCCCCGCTTATTCTAGGCACACGGTAACCACAGCAGCCCTAGGCCTAGTTGGGAACATAAGTGATGGCCATTGTCCTGAGGGTGTTGTGGGAGTCACCCTGCTCCAGGAGCTCTTAGGTCATGGCCTCTGGAACCCTCACCCCAGTGCTTATTATTATTATTATTACTATTTTAATAAAAGATTAATCTGGGTGCTAGTGGCACACATCTTTAATCCTAGCAGAGGCAGGCAAATCTCTTGAGTTTGAGGCCAGCCTGGTCTACAAAGTGAGTTCCAGGACAGCCAGGACTACACAGAGAAACCCTGTCTTGAAAAAAAAGACAGTCTTGTGTATTTCAAGCTGGCCTAGAACTCAATTTATAGCCAAGAGTGACCCTGAACTTAACATTTTTAAAATTCATTCATTTTTTTTTAAAGATTTATTTATTTATTATGTATACAACATTCTGCCTTGATGTATGCCCGCACGCCAGAGGAGAGCGCCAGATCTCAGTACAGATGGTTGTGAGCCACCATGTGGTTGCTGGGAATTGAACTCATGACCTCTGGAAGAGCAGCCAGTGCTCTTAACCTCTGAGCCATCTCTCCAGCCCAAAATTCATTCTTAGTATGTCTTATTAGTATGTCTTATGGATGCCAGCGAGGGTTGTGTCATGGCGCAGACAGAGGGAAGAGGATAGTTTAGAGTCAGTTCTGCTGTTCCTGTGTATTTTGGGGACTGAACTTAGGTTTTCATGCTCGTGCAGCAAGCACCTGTACACACGAAGCCAGTTTGCAGACCCGGAGTAGATTTTTTGGTGTATTTATTTATTTGTTTTTTGAGGCAGGATCTTGCTGTGTAGCTGAAGCGTGCCTCAGACTTGGACTCCTGCTTCAGGTCTCCTAGATCTGGGATTTATCCCTGGCTAAATGTTCATTTGTTTGCCTTCTTACGGGCTTGGAGGTTGAGCAGAGGGTCTCAACTGTGGTAAGCAATCACTCTGCCACTGAACTACACCCCTCTCCTCACCCTGGGTCCTTGAGGAAGGTAGCAGGATTGTATAGTTGAGGAAAGCTGGGCAGAAGTTAGGCTGAAATAAGTGTCTGTCTGAGACCTGGAGAAAAATCCCGTTTTTATCTCCTATCCTGAGCTTCTTCATGTATACTTGACAGGGCAGAAAGTGTAGCCGGGCTGGCCTCAGACCCATCTGAGTTGACTGCTCAAGGAAAGCCCTGGTAGATAATGAAATGGCATTCTTCTTCGTCTGCCCTTTCCGGGCGCTCAGTGACTGCTGTGTGCACACTCTGTCTGGGGCACTGCCGAGAACACTGTCACCATCAGGATGTGCTCAGATCAGGCTGTGGTGTGGAGTGCCTCTGCAGAGCCTGGGAAGCCTGAGCAAGCCTGGGCACGCCTGCGCTTGCTGGGTGGACTGAGCCTGTCTCTAGGCCAGACCTAGGTCTCTGGGCATTGGATGTGAGGCCGCTGAGCTGCAGCCCTGGCTGGTCCCTGCACATAGCATCTGCTTCTCTCTTCACAGCCCCTCAACCCGAACCCTGATAGCAGGTGGAACACGTATTTTAAGGACAACGAGGTGCTACTGCAGATTGACAAAGATGTCCGGTAAGAGGCCCACAGGGGCTTTTTGCTACCGGGGCCCTCACCGGGGTTTATACATACAGTCGCATACCAGAGGGCACTGGAGCCTGGCTGGCTGGCTGGCTGGCTGGCTGGCTTCAGGACAGCTTCACCACTTGGCTGTTTGATCATGGGCAGGCAACTCAGGCTCTCTGAACATGACTTCTGTGGAAGTAGAAGTGAGATGGCTCAGGTTGAGGGTATGTGCAGCATGGGTCTTCACATGGAATCCGGATCGTTGTGCTAGCTGCAGCCTACTACAGAGGCCTTTGAAGTGATCAGTTGCCTTTGGAGAAGGACCCTGGGAGCTGAACCCCCTCACTTGGAGCAGCCTGACTGTGTCCTCTCTGGCACCCACTCCTCGTTTAGACAGGAAACTCATGCAGAGCTACTCAGTGGCATTCCCAAGGAATCCTGGGGCCAGTTCTGCTGGCAACAGCACAGGCCAATTTCACCCATGTGAGGAGGGCTGGAGGTTTCCCTGAGGAGACAGACACAGATGTTCAACCTGTCAAAATGTATGCGATTACAGAAGTTGTGAGCGCTGTGAAGGGGGAGAAGCTGGTGCTGAGGGAAGAGGGGCCTTAGGGGAGGTGACTCAGCATGAGCTGCCAGGCGAGGGGAGGATGGGAGGCGCGGGGCTATGTGGAAGAGCTTCCTAGCCTCAGGAACTTGTGCAGGAATGCCCTGAGGCTTGGGCTAAAGTCAGTAGGAAGATCCTCTTCCTCCCCAAGTGCTATGGCTCTGCCCAGATCCCTCTCCAGACTCCTCTGGATGCCTGAATGGGGTGGTATACCAGGCCCTTGGGGCCTTTCTTCTCAGACTGGCATTGGAACAGCACTACCCGTGAGATGCTGTCCTGACCAGGTTTAGGTCGAGAGTGTCATCCTGTAGTAGTTTTGGGGAGGGATTATGGGCTCAGGCTCTCTCTCCCACTGGTGTTGGCAGTAGGGTGTCAGTGTTTGCGGAGGGCCAGTACGCAGTGTGCTGTGTCTAGGCAGTCTGAGACGTATACATGATCGTGATGCCCTGTCGTGCTCCAGATGCCCCTGCGCGGTTCCTTGCACATCCCTTCATGTCAGCAAAGGGTGTTTTTTCCTGTGGTAAATGACCATGTCAATCCTTGTGTACATCCATGCCTCTGCAGACAGATGTATGTAAATATATATAATGTTCTGTTGGGGAGTGAGCTCAGGACTTGACTCCTTGTGAATATCAGACTTACTTATATACATGTATACATAGTGCTTACTAGGTACATGCTCTATCACTAAGCTAGATCCTTAGCTCCTAGACAGGTAGACAAGTGCTTTTGTCATGGAAACGTGTTTGTGGTTTACGAGCATTAGTGGTTTTGTTTTTTGTTTATTTTTTTGGTTTTTCGAGATAGGTTTTCTTCTGAAACCATTCTAGCTGTCCTGGATTTCACTCTGTAGACCAGGCTGGCCTTGAACTCACAGAGATCCACCTGTCTCTGTCGAGTATGACCTAAAGACACTTAAAAAATGCACACGTGAGCTGGGTGGTGGTGGTGCAGCACTTGGGAGGTGGGAGGCAGAGGCAGGGGCAGGTGTATCTCTGAGTCTACAAGAGCTAGTTCCAGGACAGGCCCCAAAGCTACAGAGAAACCCTGTCTTGAAAAAAAAAAAATTAAATATAAAAAATGTACACATGGGCCGGGCGATGGTGGCGCACGCCTTTAATCCCAGCACTCGGGAGGCAGAGGCAGGTGGATCTCTGTGAGTTCGAGACCAGCCTGGTCTATAGAGCTATTCCAGGACAGGCTCCAAAGCCACAGAGAAACCCTGCCTCGAAAAAACCAAAAAAAAAAAAAAAAAAAAAAAAATGTACACATGTACCTCTTCATAAACACTTATGAAATGAGCATGTATTTGTAATTTCTACTGCCTTTATAAAAACTGTATTTTGGGGGTTAAATATTTTAGTTTTTTTTTAAAATATTTATTTATTTATTATGTATACAATATTCTGTCTGTGTGTATGCCTGCAGGCCAGAAGAGGGCACCAGACCGCATTACAGATGGTTGTGAGCCACCATGTGGTTGCTGGGAATTGAACTCAGGACCTTTGGAAGAGCAGACAATGCTCTTAACCTCTGAGCCATCTCTCCAGCCCAATATTTTAGTTTTTTTTTTTTTTTTTATTATGTATATAATATTCTGTCTGTGTGTATGTCTGCAGGCCAGAAGAGGGCACCAGACCTCATTACAGATGGTTGTGAGCCACCATGTGGTTGCTGGGAACCGAACTCAGGACCTTTGGAAAAGGAGGCGATGCTCTTAACCACTGAGCCATTTCTCCAGCCCCCAATATTTTAGTTTTTGATACAAAGTTTTGCATTAGTCAAGGCTGCTCAGGTGCTCACTTTGTAGCTGAAGCTGGGCTTGAACTCCAAGTAGTTGATTACAGTTTGAGCCACCATCCCCAGCTGAAATGTTACGATTACAAACAGGCAAACAGTTGAAGAGTAGCTGAGGTGTAGGGCACCTGTCTAGCGTGACCTCGGTTAGACCCCAGCACTGTAAGATAAATAAAATCAACCACTTGTGAGCATACCCAGGGCTGCCACCCTGAGTGACAGCGTTCTTTCCATTCCAACAGGAGGCTGTGCCCAGATATATCCTTCTTCCAGAGAGCCACCGAATACCCCTGCCTCCTCATCCTGGACCCGCAGAATGAGTTCGAGACCCTTCGGAAACGGGTGGAGCAGACAACACTGAAATCTCAGACAGTGGCCCGGAACCGGAGCGGGGTCACAAATGTAAGAGCTAGCCTGGGATCTTTTTCTTTTTAAGATTTGTTTATTTTATTTGAGTGTTTGCCTGCCTGTGTGTATATGTTCCTAGAACTAGAGCTGCACTGAAAGCTCCATTTGCCATTTGTATCATGGGAAAAAAATGAGGGTCCCTATGGCTAGGAACAGCGAGACAGCAGAGGGGAGGGGCCAGAGGGTCCTGTAAGAGCTAGTGTGGGGAGGTCCAACAGGGCCCTTGTGCAGACTGCTGGTGGGCTCTTGGAGGATTCTGAGCAGGCAGCAACTTTTGGTTCAGGTGTCCTTGGGCATAGAAGGGCTATCAAAGCAGATGGCTGCATTTGCCAAGGTCAGAATTTGCTGTTTGGTTAGATCTGGAACACACAGAAGAGGGTAAGCTCTAAGGGTTTTCAAGCTCCAGAAAAAATAGCAGACCTCGACACTGTGGCAGCTGCTTTGCCCCTCAAAAGGTGTATGACCTTATATCTCCATTTAGGCTCACTGCTTTGGGAGCTGTAGTGGTGATTTGTTCCCACTTGTCATGGCCTTTCACCAGCAGGGGAGCCCTCCTCTGCAGCCTCCCCAGCAGGAGAGCCCTCCTCTACAGCCTCCCCAGCAGGGGAACCCTCCTCTGCAGCCTCCCCAGCAGGAGAGCCCTCCTCTGCAGCCTCCCCAGCAGGGGAACCCTCCTCTGCAGCCTCCCCAGCAGGGAGTGGAGAATCACACAACTCTTCTCCCTGAGTTGTTGATGGGCAGTCAGGCAGATGCATTCACTCCTGGTCCCGTGTACCTGCCACGAGGGTAGGGTTCACCAAAGTTGTGCATAGTCCAGGCGTGGTGAGGGAACCATGGCTTGGTTTTTGTGCACCCCTCTTGGCATGGATGCTGATAGCCTTGATGAAGGCCCAACAGTGCTAATCCTTTGACTATAGTGTTGCACGTGAGGGTCAAGCTCTACCCGTTTTACCTTTGGATCTGGTCCTGACAGCCCAGGATCCAACTGAAGCTTCATCCCCAGGATTCTGGACCTGTGGTAGGGTGGCTCAGTCAAGTCAGTCTCTGTCTTCTGTGAGTCTGGGCAAGGGATACCGAGCTGCTGTTTCTGGGCTTTTCCTCCTCCATATCTGGGCATGATCACTCCTGCCCTGCCTGGCTGTGGAACAGCCAGAAGGAAATGAGGTCATGGAAGGCAGGTTCTTGGAAAGCTAGAGGCACTGGGCTATCATGGGAGAAAACCTGCTGCAGCCGCTTGGCGCACAGCCTCTGGGCTAGTGAGTCCAGGTTCAAGTCTATGTGAGCCTGTTTCCTCATCTTGAACTGTTCAAAGGTGGTGCTGTGGCTTAAAGCCTGTAATCTGAGGCAGGAGGATCAACTCAGGGCCTTCCTCAACTATCTGGTGAGGACCAGCTCAGGGCCATCCTGGACTGATATGTTTGAAGTTCACTCTGAAGACATGAAGCTCTGTTGTGAAAGAAAATGGTTTTGAGAGCAGATTGGAGGAGTATGGTCTGCTCCTGGGGTGCATGTGTTTGTGTCATGCACATGTATGAAAGGTATGTGGAAATACCCTGGGCTACATGGACTCCTAAGAATAGAAAGTCTTGTGTAGTCCATTGGGGTCTCTTCTGCAAGTCCTCCAGCTCTGCAGCCACTGCTGGAGCAGGCTGAGGGAGAGCCCAGGCACCCAAATCCCCTAAATTTCCTGAGGTTCTGCAGAGCAGCTGATATTGTGGACACCTTTTCTTGTTTTGAACTGGTTTTATGTAGTCCAGGTTGGCCTAGAACTCTATATGTAGCTGAGGCTGGTATTGAACTCCTGATCCTCCCGATTCTACCTCTAAGTGCTGGGATTTACAGCCTACATCATCACCTGCAGCCAAGTCTTTATTTTCAGTTGAAGTACGTATACTTAGAAATGCATACATTTTTACGCACGTAGCTAGATCTGTTCTTCCCGTGAGTCCACCTGTGAGGCTGCCCATCACCGTCAGGACTTCTCACTGTGCAGGAGGGCCCTTCTTCCTTTCTCCATCAGGTCCTTACCACAGAATCTACCTCTCTTTTGTTGTTGGGTTTCATTGGTTTTGATTTTTTTGTTTTGGTTTTGTTTTGTTGTTGTTGTTTATTTTTCAAGACAGGGTTTCTCTGTAGCTTTAGAGCCTCTCCTGGAACTCGCTCTGTAGATCAGGCTGGTCTTGAACTCACAGAGATCTGCCTGTCTCTGCCTCCCAAGTGCTGGGATTAAACGCATGCACCACCACCACCTGGCTTTTTTTTTTTTTTTTTTTTTTTTAAGACAGGGTCTCACTATGTATCCTTGGCTGGCTTCAACCTCACAGAGATCTGCCTGCCTCTGCCTCTCAAGTGCTAGGACTAAAGGAAGTGGGACCTCTTTTTTAACCTGGTTGTCACTCAATGTCTTCTTACAGCATCCACCTCCTCTTCCTTGTGTGACATGTTCCTCCATATCATGTCTTGGTCATAAACTAGGATGTTAAGGCATGTTGGGCTTCATGGGAACATTTGACCTGCTAACAGGTTCTCCTCTTCTCCCCAGATGAGCTCCCCACACAAGAACAACGCACCACCAGCCCTGAATGAGTATGAGGTTCTGCCCAATGGCTGTGAAGCCCACTGGGAGGTGGTGGAGCGGATCCTGTTCATCTATGCCAAGCTCAACCCTGGCATCGCTTACGTGCAGGGCATGAATGAGATCGTGGGTCCCCTGTACTACACTTTTGCCACTGACCCGAACAGCGAGTGGAAAGGTTAGACAGGCTCTTGGCTGCCCGAGCCTCCCATTGCTGGCTCCCTAGAGAAAGAGAATGGGGCTAGCCAGGCTGATGGGCCACGTGGGGCTCCGGAGCCTCATCTATTTCAGACGTCTGTGGCCATGTCAGAGCAGGTGCTGTCTAGCTCTGCCTTGTAGAATACTGCTGTTCACTGATCTGTTGACCCTTGGAACTTTCTGTGGAATAGATGCTCATGACCGGCTGAGAGATGAGACCCATTAGCATAGTGCACGAAAGCTGCCAAGTGGGCTGTGTGTCTAGAAGATGAGGTAGAAGTGGTGACGTCCTTAGGGGTAGACGGGGCCAAGGTGGGGGACCCATTCCAGCCTCTGCAGGGGTATTGGGTGACACGTTGAAGTGGGGCATATGTCTTGTGGGTGAGGTGGGACTCAAGAACACCTCACTCCCTGCGTCCACCCACACCTCACTGTCTGTCCCAGAGCACGCTGAAGCTGACACCTTTTTCTGCTTCACCAACCTCATGGCTGAGATCCGAGACAACTTCATCAAGAGCCTGGATGACTCCCAGTGTGGCATCACCTACAAGATGGAAAAGGTGTACTCCACCTTGAAGGATAAGGATGTAGAACTCTACCTGAAACTGGTGAGGACCAGGCTCACAGCTACTGCCTGAGTCTGGGGGCTAAAAGTGGCTGTAGTTGAGCAGCTCAGGATGCTGGCCCACCAGCACGTGGGAAACAAAGGCAGAAGGCTCTCTGAGTTTAGGCTAGCCTGGTAGCGTGGCCTGTCTCAAAACACAGAGAGAGACAGAGAGAGAGAATAATGTGGCCAGTAGATGGCAGGTGAAAGTGTTTAACGCCAAGCCCAGCCACCTTACCTAGTTCAGCCCCGACCACGTGGTAGAGAAGAGAACTGACTCTCACAAGCTGTTCTTTAACTCTACGTACTTCAGATACATTAAACATGCAATTCAGCTTATTGTAAAGCCATCACTGTGTGTTTCATAAAACAGTTCAGTTTAAGCTAGACAAGGAAGCACATCCTACGAGGATATTCAAGCCAGTCTGGCCTACATAGTGAGTTTGAGGTCAGTTTACATGAAAACCTGTTTTAAGAATAAATTAAGGGGCTGGAGAGATGGCTCAGAGGTTAAGAGCACTGACTGCTCTTCTGGAGGTCCTGAGTTCAATTCCCAGCAACCACATGGTGGCTCACAACCATTTGTACTGAGATCTGGCGCCCTCCTCTGGTGTGTGGGCATACATCGAGGCAGAATGTTGTATACATAATAAATAAATAAATCTTTTTAAAAAAAAGAATAAATTAAGGGGCTGCGCGATGGTGGCGCACACCTTTAATCCCAGCACTTGAGAAGCAGAGGTAGGTGAATCTCTGTGAGTTCAAGTCCAGCCTGGTCTACAGAGCAAGTTCCAGCACAGCCAGAGCTACATAGAGAAACCCAGCCTCAAAAAGATAGATAGACAGACAGAGAAGAGAAGATACATTTTTCTATATAAATTGCGAGTGCTGTGGGATGGGGATGTGGCTCGGTTGATAGAAGGCTTGCCTAGCACGTGTGAAGGCCTGGACTCCATCTGGGATCCAAGCCACTGCAACCTTGGCTCTCAGAAGGTGAAGGCCAGGGTATGAGGGTTTAAAGTTATACTTGGCTTCATGGTGACTTTGACTCCAACCTGGGCTATTAAAAAAAAAAAAAAATTGGCCGGGCGGTGGTGGCGCACGCCTTTAATCCCAGCACTCGGGAGGCAGAGGCAGGCGGATCTCTGTGAGTTCGAGACCAGCCTGGTCTACAAGAGCTAGTTCCAGGACAGGCTCCAAAACCACAGAGAAACCCTGTCTTGAAAAAACCAAAAAGAAAAAAAAAAAAGTAAAAAAAAAAAAATTAAACTGTGTGGCGGTGGCACACGCCTTTATTCCCAGCACTCAGGAGGCAAGGGCAGGCAGATTTCTGTGAGTTTGAAGCTGTCCTGATGTAATAGTTCAAGACCAACCAGGGTTATATGGGTTATATGGTGAGACTCTGTCTCAGAAACAAATTTCTAAAATGTTTTGTGAAAAAAAAATATATACAGACACGTATATTCTTACTTTATTTTCGTTTTTGGTTTTTTTGTTTGTTTGTTTGTTTGTTTTAGACCTGTTTTTTCCTGGCTCTCCTGGAAGTCACTCTGTAGACCAGGCTGGCCTTGAACTCAAGAGATCTGCCTGCCTCTGCCTTCCCAGTATGGGATTAAAAGTGCTACCATTCCTGGCTTAAAGTACGGAATGCTGTTTTTACTTAGTGATGCATGTTCTTTCTGTTAATACCCTCTGTGACTCCGCAAAGTGTTCGTTTCCTGGGGATTCCTGCCCTGTGGGGTTGTTCATGGGTTCGTAAGCTGAGCACAGGTGCTGTGCCCGGGGCTGGTCCTTGTGCATGTCTCCAGACGGGGAAGTTCATGTGCTGAGCCATCTCCAAGTCTGAAGGGCTGATGTAAAATCCAGGGCTTCTAGTGTGCCTTGAAGAAATCAAAAGCAACATTGACTGGACTGCAGTAGCGGCCGTCCTCTTAGTGGCCCCTTTGAGGCCTGAGCAGGGCTTGCTTCTAGGCTACATTTTCTTTCTGCCGCTGACACCCAATCCCTGCTGTCTCTCCAGCAAGAGCAGAATATCAAGCCCCAGTTCTTTGCCTTCCGTTGGCTGACACTCCTGCTGTCGCAGGAGTTCTTGCTGCCTGATGTCATCCGGATCTGGGACTCACTCTTTGCCGATGACAACCGCTTTGACTTCCTCCTCCTGGTCTGCTGTGCCATGCTCATGTAAGTGGGGCCATGATTTGCCCTGTCCATAAGGAAAGCTGGGGTGGGAGGGGGCAGTCCTGGAAGGCGGCCAGAGCAAGCCTCTGGAACTGACCTCCAAGCAGGCCTTGCTGAGAGTGGAAGAATCAGCAGAGAGCCTGCCTGCAGGCCTGCTCCTGGGACATCTAGGCTCCAGCGCTGAGACTGCTTGTTTCCCTGCAGACTGATCCGGGAGCAGTTGCTGGAGGGGGATTTCACTGTCAACATGCGGCTTCTGCAGGTAATGGGCACTGGAGGGAAGGCCAGTCAGTCTCAGCAGCAGGGCAGACACTTCACCCAGCACCAGCCATTGTTGCAGGCTGGCACCAGAAACAGGAGCACGTGCTGTGGGTTCAGGGTGCAGACTCTGGGTTTGAATCTGAGTTGAATCCTGGTCTTCACAGACCTTGAGTGGTATACATCCTTGGCTCTCCAGGACTCTGGGCCACAAGGTCAAGGCAGTGAATGTTGCTGATTTTGCTCTGGTGGGGAGTTGTGTGTCACGTGGGTCTGTCAGCCTGCCTGAGGTTCATGTATGTTCTCTTCTTTTCCTCATGTGACTTGAGCCAAGTGACATTGTCCAGGCCTCAGTGTTTACCAACACCTGGCTTTGGGTTTGTTTTCATTAACCTCACTAGCCAGGTCTGTGAGATGGATGTAATCACAGCACCCCTTCTCGGGGTTCCTCGGGGGACTGGAAGGCTAAGGGCTATACCAGCAGAGCTAGTTCCAGGTTGTTCATGGGTGTGCCTCCAGGTTCCAAGGCTGGAGCTGGGAGGGCTGAGGCCTCGGGCACTATGGTCCTAAGACAGGCCGTGAGACCCTTTGGACCTTAGTGACATGCAGTGTTTGTGGCGGGATACCTGGAGTGTCTGGTATACCAGTCCCTGCTGCTGGTGCCATGCCATGGTGACAGATGTGTGTGGAAAGGCAGTGGGGGCTGCTCCAAGAGCACATGTGGTTTCCTTGGTGTCCAGGATTATCCCAGCACAGACGTCTGCCAGATCCTACAGAAAGCCAAGGAGCTCCAAGACTCAAAGTAACCTGGTGGCAAGAGGCCCAGGGTTGGAAGAGCAGCCACCTGCACATCTGGTTTGTGGGACACAGAGGAGTCAGTGGGAAAGCAGTGAGGACAAGCCACAGACCTGGCCAGCTCCAGGCTTCCCAACCTGGCTCCGGTGGTCCAGGCTACTCCTGAGCACACTGTGCTGTGCTCCTTCCCAGTGCTTGGCCCTGCCGCCCTCCCTGCACTTGAGTCCTGAGGCCTCCACCCAGACTGCTAAGCAGCGCGGGAGCTCCTGAACTGGGTTCCTGGGACTGGGGCCATTTGAGGCACAGGAGGCTGGCAAGGGTTCTGCCATGCCTCTGCCCAGTAGCTCCCTTTGTGCTCTCATCTTCCCCTGGGTCCTGGTCAGGGGAGGTAATTGGCTAATGGGCCAGAAACCATTTCTGAGCATTGGTGCTCAAGCTACTTGGGGAAGGGACCCCAGAAGAGCTGAGAGACTGCCAGTTCTAGGTTCACCTTTTGTCTCCCCTGTCCGGTGCATTTGCTCATGGTCGGGGTGTCCCCCAGGTGTCTCTGCTCCAGTGTGTGTATGTACACGTGTGTTCACACATGCCCTGGAAGCGGAGTGGGCATGTTGGAATCCCTCTGAGGTCCTGCTTCCTTTCTTCTGTGTCTCTACCTCTGCTGTCTCCCTCTTCCTCTGCCAGAGGTGTGTATGGCTCCTGCCGTTCCTTCCTCTCCATGTCTCTCTACCCTTTGCCTGGAGCACCTTACCCCAAATCTCTTCCTCTCTCTTCTCTGCTTCCTGAAGCCAGCAGTCAGAATGAGAAGTGTGGCTTAGTAAGACCCCTGCAGGCCAACCTTGGCTTGGGCACCCTGTTCCCGTCCCCAACCCAAGGTTCAAGGTCCTCTCACCAGAGAGGGAATCACAGTGGCTCTTCAGAGGGCCTGCTCTGCTTGAGGAAGCCAAGTGCTGCTGACATGGTGGCCTGTGACACTCGGGGCCTCTTGCCCATTGTTTGCCCAACTGTGGAGAAAGGAGGGAGGAGGAGTCTTGTAAGGGCCTCCCTGGAGACTCATCATCTCAGAGACCAAGGATGTCCCGCTGGGCTGTGTCTGGGAGCTGGAATCTGAGCATCTCAGCAGAGCTGGCATCCCTTGGCTTCCAAGTTCCTGCCCACGGAGTATAAGTCTCATCAAGGGCAAAGGACCAAAGGATGCCTCTCTGTGGCCAGCATTGGCTGAAGGCCTGGAGCTTCTCAGTGCCAGGAGAGCTACATTTGTAGCTGTGCTCCTGCAGGGGCTGCAGAGGTGCTTGGGCTGTCTTCTGGCTTTGGGGACACAGTGCCTGAGCTACACCCTGTTCAGCAAGTAGACTTTTCCTAACCTTGTCCCTCCCTCCCTCCTTTTCTTTTTTTTTTTTCTTTTTTTTCTTTTTTTGGTTTTTCGAGACAGGGTTTCTCTGTGGCTTTGGAGCCTGTCCTGGAACTAGCTCTGTAGACCAGGCTGGTCTCGAACTCACAGAGATCCACCTGCCTCTGCCTCCCGAGTGCTGGGATTAAAGGCGTGCGCCACCACCGCCCGGCGCTCCCTCCTTTTCTGTGGAGGCCAGGTGGTTTGAGTCCTGAAGGCAGGTCGACAGCAGGGGAGGGGAGACCTCACCCTCTCAGACTGGCCAGCAGGAACTAGGCTCCAGCAGCTGCCACCCGAAGCCTCCTGAGACCAGCTGCAGGGCTCCCTGCCTTCCCAAGCCGCTGCTCTAGTAAACTTCCTTGGGTGCTGCTGGGACTCTGTCTGCCTTTTTGCTACCATCTCCCCCAACATAGAATATTTGGGTGATTTTTTTTTTAACTATTTATTTAGACATGGGCTATTTATTGCAGATTGGCAAGTGAGTTGGGCTGTGCGCGGGTTTTAGTGACTGGGGTGATAGAATTGGAGGCATGGATTGTCTTAATTTCCCAAGGTTAATCCTGGCACCCTCTCCTGTTCCTGGCTGGGAAGGCTGCCAGCTCTACTAGAACTGAGTACAGGGAGGCCCGAGCTGGTGCATTTGCTGTACTCAGAGATCCAGGACATACACTCCCACCATCCTGGTCTCCCCTTAATGTAGGGCTTGTCAGCGGGTAGTTCAGCCCCAGCATTGACCTCTTCATTGCCTGGAAGCCAGCAGACACTGCCTGGGACACCTACTGCATTTATTCCCTCTTGCCAATCCTCCTTCCCTTGCTCTCTCCCTCCCTCTCTTCCTGGGACCATGCTACTGGAATCACTGCATCCGATTTGTTTCTGTGGGAGACCTGCATCCTGTGCCCACTCCTTGACCCTGGAGATGAAGGCCAAGGGCATGGAATGGAGGCTGTCTGGATAGTGTGGCTCCCCAGTCGGGTGCTGCCTAAGGAAAAAACTTGCCTGTGGTGATTCTTAAGGGAGAACCAGAGTCTGAATTCAGCAGCTTCCACGTGGGGTGGCCCCAGGAGCTTGGCAGGTCACCCCTGGGGGACCAGACAGCAGTGGCTTTTGTGTTTTCATCCATTCTCTGAGTCAGTGCTGTTGATGAGTTGTCTTTAATAAACCGTGTGCTCTTTACCATGTATGTGTATTGGTGCTTCCATAGCTGGACACGAGACTTTGGAGCAAGGACAAAGTCAAAGTCCCTTATCCTGGTCTAAGGAAGACCAGGAACTGCTTGCCAGGAAAGCCTGACTCCTCCAGTTGAGCTGCCACGCCCAGTAGGAGGCAGGTGGGCTAACCAAGTACCCACCGCTTTGTTACTCGCTTTAAGTTGTATTTATCTGTGTGCATCCTGCAGGTTGAGAGGTCTTGCCGGAGGGAGTCAGTTCTCTCCTCTGGAGTCAGGTGGCGAGCACCTCCACCCACTGAGCTGCCTCACCTGCAGCTACTTTAGTTGGTACTTAGTTTAGAGGTAAGAGTTTGCTATGTAGTCCAGGCTAGCCTCAATCTCTGTTCATCCTCAGCCTCTGAAGCATGAGCTTCCGCCTCCTGAGTGTTGGGATTAAAGATGGACCAGCACACCTGGCTTAAAGCCATGTCTTTTCTTTTTTGTCTTCCTTCCTCCCTCCTTCCCTCCCTCCTTCCTTCCTTCCTTGAGATAGGGTTTCTCTGTCTCAGAGTAAGTCCTGGAACTCACTCTGTAGACCAGTCTGACCTCAAACTCAACAGAGATTCCCCTGCCTCTGCTTCCCGAATGCTGGGATTAAAGGTGTGCACCACCACGCCCGGCTTGAGGAGTGTTTCTATATGCTAACTGTAAATTCTGAAAATAATAAAATGCTGCTTGCAATACCTAGCAGAAATTATTTAGGAATTTTGCGCTGGTCATTGAGCCCAGGCCCTCACACACATCAAGCAAGCACTGAACCCCTGAGCCAGAACCACAGCCCCAAGAATACTGAACATTGTGAAGCCTTGGGAGAGTTGAAGGAGGTGCAAAGAAACAAGGCTCTGCAGTTCCAGGTTGGAAGAATTTACCTCCATTCCCAGTATCTAAAACACACCATAGGTTCTAGTGTGTATAGCTGAGTGGATGAACCTTCTCCAGCTGGTGAGGAAATTAAAATTCCCCTCCGGCTTAAGCAGTTCGCAGCTAAACAAGTCCAGCACCAGGAGTGTAGGAGGAAGGTGGCATAGGCTGCCTCCTCAGGGATTATGGGATGGGAGGAAAGGTTCCAGCTCATGGCAATTTAATAGTGAATGAACGGGGGGTCCTTGAATAAATGTAGTAGTCCCTATCAAAATTCCAGGATGGCCAAGTGTGGTGGTACATGCCTGTGATCTCAGCACTCCACAAAGAGGATCCTGGCAAATTTGAGACCAGCCTGATCTGTGTAGGGGGTTCCAGTCTCCCTGGGGCTACGTACTGAGGCCCTGCCTGAAACAAAATTGCTATGACATGGAGATATAGCTCAGTGGCAGTGTATTCTCTCTGCTTGCCTGAGACTGGGTCCTAACACACTCTAATACTCTCTATCTAACACACACACACACACACACACACACACACACACACTATATATATATTTTCCATAGAAAAAGGAAAGAATCTGAAAATGCGTTAGGGAACCATAAAAGATCCCAGGTGCCTGGCATAACTGAGTGAAAAGAACAAAGCTGGAGGCCTTACATTAAAACACCAGCTAGTGGTGATCACAGCAGCATGGTGCTGGCAGAAATACATCACATCTGCGTTTAATCCCAGCACCCGGGAGGCAGAGGCACGAGGCTCTCTGTGAGCTCAAGGCCAGCCTGGTCTACAGAGTGAGCTCCAGGACAGCCTGAGCTGTTACACAGAGAAACCCTGTCTTGAAAGAAAAAAAAGAAAAATATATGACATCAACCAGTAGAGTCAGACAAAAACCCAGAAACAGGCAGAAAAATCTTACAGTCAATTGATTTAAAAAAAAAAAAAGCTGGGCAGTGGTGGCGCATGCCTTTAATCCCAGCACTTGGGAGGCAGAGGCAGGCGGATCTCTGTGAGTTCGAGACCAGCCTGGTCTACAGAACTAGTTCCAGGACAGGCTCCAAAGCCACAGAGAAACTCTGTCTTGAAAAAACAAAAAGAAAAAAAAAAGTTTTTTTTTTTTTTGTGGTTGTCATTGTTTTTTGAGACAGGAATTCTCAAAAGCTTGTATGTAACGTTGCTTGTTACGGAATTTGCTTTGTAGACCAGGCTGGCCTCAAACTTACGGAGATCACCTACCTCTGCCTCCAGAGTACTGGAATTAAAGGCCTATGCCGCCACCACCTGATAAGAAACCATTTTTCTTATTTTCTGTGCACGAGTGCTTGACTGCTTTATGAGTGCCTGGTCCCAATGGAGGCCAGAGGAAGGCACCAGATCCCCTGGGACTGGAGTTACTGATGCTTGTGAACCACCTTGTGGATGCTGGAAACTGAACCTAGATCTTCTGCAGGAGCAGCCAGTGCTCCTAACTGCTGAGCCATCTCTCCAGCCCCTGGAATCAATTGCCTTTGACAAAGGAGGCAAGAGCACACTGGAGAAAGGACAGTCTTAAGTAAATGGTGCCGAGAGAACTGATTCCACACACAGAAAAGTTAAATGAGACTTTTACACCACACCACATCGAGAAACCAGCTGTCAAATGATTGCAGGCTTAGTCCTAAAGCCTGGAACTGTAGCTATCAGAAGACGGGTGTCTTTTAGACATGGTGCCCAAAGCACTCTCACAGTTACGACAGTCACATTCACAGGAGCCAAAAAGTCTAATGTCCATTAGTGGATGAAGGGACAGAGGACACGGTATAGACACACATGGGATGCGAGGGTTGTGTGTGTGTGTGTGTAAGGCAGTCACCGCAGCTGACCTCGGGCTCCCTAGTGCTGCGATGACAGTCACTATGCTCAATTATCATCCACTAGCCTTTATATGATGGTGTGTGTGTGCGTGCATACATGCATAAACTCATGTCATCCATACACAGGGACATACATGTTGAGGTATGGGCTCATGAGGCAGCTCCCTCCTTCCACTCTGTTTCAAGGCAAGGTCTCTTATTTCATCCACCGTGCAGTGCAGTGTAGGCTCCTGCCTCAGCCTCAAATCTCAGTTTGGGGATGCCGGGATTACAGATGTGAGCTGTTGTCTCTGGCTCCTATGTGAGTTCCAGGGATGGAAATCATGTCACCAGGCATTGCTTTTACCCACTGAGCTGGCTCCCCACCACCAAAAATCTTTTTTCCCTCCTTTTTACATTGATTTATGGGCTGGAGAGATGGCTAGGCTCACAACCAAAAATATAACATTGATTTAGTTTTGTGTGCACCATGGCACCTGTGTGGTGGTCAGTGGGCAACCATAAACCAAATTGCACAAGAGACAGAACTCAGACCATCTTGCTGTCCCCTCGTTTTTTTATTTGTATTTTTTATTTTGGGGAAGGATTCCACATAGTCCAGGCTAGAACTCACTATGTAGTGCATGACCTTGAACTCCTGACCCTCCATCTCCTACCCCTCCAGAGCTAGGGAGTTATCAGCACAGACTACAGACATACTCTGCTTTTCTTCTCTCTCTCTTTCCTTTCCGTTCTCTCCCCATCTCTTCCTTGTTCCCTCCCCATCTCTCCCTTGTTCCCTCCCCTCCCTTCTTTCCTTCCTTCCTTCCTTCCTGTTTTTTTGAGACAGGGTTTCTGTGTGGCCCTAGCAGTCCTGGAACTCAAGCTGTACACCAGGCTGGCCTTGAACTCACAGAGATCCGCCTGCTCTTCCACCAGAGTTCTGGAATTAAAGGTGTTTAAAGGTGTGCGCTACCACTGCCCTGCTCTTATTCTGCTTTTCTTTTTTTAAAAAAAATATTTATTATGTATACAATAGTCTGTCTGTGTGTATGCCTGAAGGCCAGAAGAGGGCGCCAGACCTCTTTACAGATGGTTGTGAGCCACCATGTGGTTGCTGGGAATTGAACTCAGGACCTTTGGAAGAGCAGGCAATGCTCTTAACCACTGAGCCATCTCTCCAGCTCCTCTTATTCTGCTTTTCAAATGAAGGAGATTCATGCCAGGCACAGTGTTAACAGTGGTATGGTAAACATGTCTCCTATACCTACAATCTACAGAAAAAATACTGATGTCAGATTCTTTTCTCGAGACAGACTTCCGTGTATCCCAGGTTAGCTTTGAACTTGCTGTGTATCTGAGGATGACCTTGCAATCCCAGTCTTCCTCCACAGCCCCAGTGCTGCATGCACCATCACATCTGGCTTATGTAATGTTGCAGACCAGATCCAGGGCTCTGCATATACCAGGCATGCACTTGGTCAGCTGCACGGAATCCCTCACCATAAACTTAGCTTTATGATTTTTACCTAGTGTGTGTGTGTATGTGTGTTCTGGAATATTATTTCAAGAGGGGGCTGGAGAGATAGCTCAGTGGTTAAGAGCACTGACTGTTCTTCCAAAGGACCCAGGTTCAATTTCCAGCACACATATGCCAGTTCATAACTGCCTATAACTCCAGTTTCAGAGGATCTGAGCTTCAACAGACATATACAGCCAAAATCCCACTGTATGCCAAATAAATATCCTTTTTTTAAAAAGAGTGTTACATTTGTTTATGCTGTGAAAATTTGTTTAATGACGCAAAGATATGTTGCATTTGTTTAACTCTGTGAAGTTGTGTTACTTTGCCTGTCTAAAACACCTGATTGGTCTAATAAAGAGATGAATGAAGGTAGGAGAAAAGATAGGCGGGGCTTGCAGGCAAAGAGAATAAATAGAAGGAGATAAAGAGAGATCTGGGAGAAAAGGAAGGAGAAGACACCAGGGGCCAGCCATCCAGCCACACAGGAAGACATGGAGTAAAAAATAAAGGTATATAGAATAGAGAAAGGGAAAAGCCCAGATGTAGGAGGTCCTTCTGTTTGTGTTGCTTTCATAGGATAATGAATAAAGAAACTGCCTTGGCCTAGAGGCAAAAGGTAAATGGGATAATTAGTTAAGAAAAGCTGGCTAGCTGAGTGGTGGAACACTTGAGAACCAGAGGCAGGCAGATCTCTGTGAGTTAAGGTCAGCCTGGCCTACAGAGCAAGTGTCGGGACAGACTCCAAAGCTACACAGAGAAACCACCTGAAAAAACAAACAAAACAAAACAAAGAAAATGAAAAGATGGCTAGAAATAAGCCAAACTAAGACTAGGCATTCATAAGTAAGAATAAAAAAAAAATAAGTAAGAATAAGACCCCATCTATTTATTTGGGAGCTGGATGGTAAGGCCACCAAAGAGCCAGAATAAAACAGCAACAACAACAACAGAAAAAACAAACCAGCTACGTTTCTATGTGTGGGAACACCCATGTATGAGTACAGATGGCTGAACAGTCTAGAAAGTATTGGATCTCCCAGAACTGAAGTTATAGGAGGTTGTGAACTGCCTGTAATTGTAGGAATTGAACCTGGGTCTATTAACAAGAGCAACAAATGCTCTCAACTACTGAGCCAGGCCTCTAGGATGTGTTAATTGCTGAACCATGTCTCCAGTCCACAACGTTGTCTTTCTCCTTTTTTATATTTTTTTCCTTTTTTAAATAAAATTTCACATGCCAGTGCGGTAGGCAGGTTGCTGTCTTAAAATAGTCATAGGTTGGGGCTGGAGAGATGGCTCAGCAGTTAAGAGCATTGCCTGCTCTTCCAAAGGTCCTGAGTTCAATTCCGAGCAACCACATGGTGGCTCACAACCATCTGTAATGAGGCCCACAGGAAGAATAATGTATACATAATAAACAAATAAATAAATAAAAGAAAGAAAAAATAGTCATAGGTTAAATATTGTTCCATGTGCAGGAAATATCCTTATCTACCCCCTAGTTTTGAGGACTTTGTGTGTTCCAGCTTCTATGGACAGGAAACACTGTCTTACACAATATACTTCCCAGGCTCATCCCTTTAAAACCCTTTAAAAGCAGGTTGAAAGGAGTGGGCAAGCCCTTAATCCCAGCACTCGGGAGGCAGAGGCAGGTGGGTATCGGTGAGTTCGAGGCCAACCTGGTCTACAGAATGAGTTCCTGTTGGACTCTAGCGTCCAAACACCGAGGAGGAGTCGCCCCCAGAGACTACCTCACACACCACAGCCGATGCAAAAGCATGAGGATTTTATTAATTCTATCATGACGGGGTCCCTCAGCATTTGGGAAGCCGAGAGACCTCGAATAGCTGACATAGTCTACTTTTAAAGGAGAAGGCCACAGAAGCAAGGGGGAGTTGTGATTGGCTTATTGAAAAGGACTATTACCAATAATTGGCTGGAGAGCTGTTGCCAGATCAGATGAAGTAAGAGGTCATTTTGACCCCATTCCCCAGGGGACCGAATCAAAACATACATATATGGGTAATTGTTCAGGAACTGAGTAAGTGCGAGTGTAGCTGTTAGGTCCTTGATTCCCAGGGGAGGAGGGGAAGCACTAAGGCATGGAGGCTGAGAGGATTCAGAACTGTCAGAAATGGCTTCAGAATTGTCTTAAAGTCTTACATTCCAAGACAGCCAGGGCTACACAGAGAAACCCTGTCTTAAGGGGAAAAAAAAAGGAAAGAAAGGTTGGAACGAATGACCCATGACTCTAGCGTAGGCTTTTCAAGCCTCTTTCTATAGCCTTACTAGTAAGCTTCAGCCCCGGGCTGCTGTCAGCAGCTACAGCCTGCACTTGCGTCCTTTTGCCAGCCAATCTAGAGTAGTCTTTGGCTCATTTGGTGACTCAATTATGGGTGGACAGGAGGTGTCTGACAGACCTGGGCTTCTGTCCTGTTCAAGCAACTCTATTTCCCAGGCCTGTGTAAAGGTTAAATTCGCGGCCCCTAGGGCGGCGCTACAGGCCTTGCAGGAGGCCAGGTTTCCGGAGGCTCACGGGGCGAGGCGGAGCCAGACTTGGCAGCGACCAATGGCAAGTGGGTACGGCGGTGTCATGTCCCGCCCAGGCCGTGTCTCAAAGGGCAGGGGAAAGACTTGGAGGACACTCGCACGGGCGGGTCCGGTCCTAGGCTCCTTCCCCTAGTGCCTCTACCGCGCTCGCCCTCCTGGAGGCCATGCGTGCACTGCGGGTTGGCCTGACCCTGGCGCTAGGCGCGGGACTGGGCGCCGCGGCAGAGCACTGGCGGCGTCGGGCGGGGGGGGCGCCCGGGCTGCTGAGCCGGGTGCCAGTGTTGCCCGTGGTCGCGGCCGATCTGCCCGCGCTGCCGGGAGGGCCGGCGGGCGGCACCGGGGAGCTGGCCAAGTACGGGCTGCCCGGCGTGGCGCAGCTCCGGAGCCGCGAGTCCTACGTGCTGAGCTACGACCCGCGCACGCGCGGTGCACTGTGGGTGTTAGAGCAGCTGCGGCCCGAGCGGCTCCGCGGCGACGGCGACCGCAGCGCCTGCGACTTCCGAGAGGACGACTCTGTGCATGCGTACCACCGTGCCACCAACGCGGACTACCGCGGCAGCGGCTTTGACCGCGGTCACTTGGCCGCCGCCGCCAACCATCGCTGGAGCCAGCGGGCGATGAACGACACCTTCTACCTGAGCAACGTGGCCCCGCAGGTAGACGTGGTCCCTGGTCACCTGCCTGACTTCAACGCCTAATTCTGACTTTATGCATGCACCTTTGCGGGAGGGAAGAGCCCTAGACGGGGTTTGAGTTTACACGAAGTACTTACTGGGAGCATCCCTCTCTCCAGCCTTCTGTGGGAAACTGGCTGCAGCAATGCCAGTCAGTAAGATACCCGGTGTACTTCCCGAGGGAACCCAGGAGGTTGCCTACTCCGTACCATCTGGCCTGCAGCAGCTGCCAGGAAAACAGCTTGCACGAAGTTGAGCTGTTGGCATCAGTCCCATCACTCTGAGCACATTGTTAACACTGCACCTGCTCCCAGTAGGATCTTGATGTGTGAACCAGGATGGACGGGCATGGGGCATAGGGCCGACCCCACACCCCACACTTGTTCTGAGGCCTGGCAGGCTCAAGGGGCCTAGGGGATCGCTAAAGGATTAATCCTCCGTCTGGTTCTTTAGCGTAGGAAAGGATGGTGTGGCTAGTGGTGGTCAGCTCCATGACACTCAACCTCTGAAATCACAGAGCCTCAAGGAGCGACCCCTATGAGCCTCTGTCTTCCACTTGCTTGGCCACCTCCTTAGGACCCAGGGCATTCCTAAAAGAAGAAGGTCCCAGGTATGGTCCTGAGCCTTGCTGCTTCCATCAGGTGCCGCACCTCAACCAGAATGCCTGGAACAACCTGGAGAAGTACAGCCGCAGCTTGACTCGCACTTACCAAAACGTCTATGTCTGCACGGGGCCTCTTTTCCTGCCCAGGTAAGCCTGTGGCTGACAGGGCCTCCCACTTACTCTCTGCCCCCGGGCTTTCTGTTTCATGGTAGCCAGAGACCTTTGGGTGGCCTAGAATGGTCCTGTGCCCACAGTTGCTAGGCCCCAAATCTGCCTTTGACACCATCTTTTGACACCATGGCGCCTCTCTAACCCACGCTGTACCAGGCTCTCACCTTTGCTTTCCTATGTCAGTCCTGCCAGAACATGAGAAACCCCTGTGATCGGCACAGGCTGGGCAAGGCAGCTGCTGAGTCCCAGGCCCTGCCCTGGGACTATGCCACTGTCACAGCCCTCACACCTCGCTTGCTTGGTGTCCTGCCTATGGGGACAGGTAGTAGTCACATGTTCGCATGGGTGATTCAGGACCTAGAGAGCTCATTCCTCTAGCAGCATTTATTGCCACCCATTCTGTCTGAAGCAGCAATGGGCAGAAAAGCGTAGGATTAAGCATTGGTCCCCACCAGAAAAGCGCAGGATTAAGCATTGGTCCCCACCTTACGGAGTTCCTAGACCCAAAGAGACGACCAGGCATGGCACATAAATTTCTTGTTGGAAGTCAGGGAGGGCTTCCTGAAAGGGGTGGCCTTGTGTCTTTCCACAGGACAGAGGCTGATGGGAAGTCCTATGTAAAGTACCAGGTTATTGGGAAGAACCACGTGGCAGTGCCCACACACTTCTTCAAGGTGCTCATCCTGGAGGCCACCAGCGGGCAGATTGAGCTGCGTTCCTATGTGATGCCCAATGCCCCTGTGGACGAGACCATCCCTTTGGAGCGTTTCCTGGTGCCCATCGAGAGCATTGAGCGGGCTTCGGGACTGCTCTTCGTGCCCAATATCTTGGCGCGAGCTGGGAACCTCAAGGCCATCACTGCTGGCAGCAAGTGAGGGAGACTGGACTGGCTCATATTAAAGGTGGTTATTTTTGTAGACACGTCTTGACCATGTTTGTTCCTGGTGATCCTCCATTTTCTGCTGCTTCTACATCCTGGATCCACAAAGCTGTCAGGTGGTCTGGGAACCTGCCTGGGTGAGACCAGGTTGCAGGGCAGCCAGGGAGATGAGTATGGCTTCCTGGAAGGAAAGAAGTTGGCTGTCTAGCTCTTCCTTGTCTTCACAGCCAGCTGCCCAAGACCCAGGAAGGATAAGAGGATGGGCGGGGCTTCGGGAACAGGCAGAGGGGTTGTCAACCTGCAGTCACCACCCGAGACTGGTGGAGAAACAGCCGCTGCCCCTCCCCCATAGTAACCCATAGGGACAGCAGTCCATGCTGGCCTCAGGGACGGCGGCACAAATCCCACGGATGCTCTGGTCTTGTGGGGACATTTTTCCTCAGAACAGAAATGTTGACATCCGGAGGGACCTAAGATACCACCAAGGAAGCCGAGGCCCTGAATGGGCACAGGCAGGTAAACTGGGAACCTAAGACTACTGCAGGCCCAGGACTTTGCAACCCTATGGCTCTTGTATCTTGTCCCTGCCAATAGTTTGCTGTGTAAGGGCCCCATCTTCAGAAAAGGTATTTAGGCTGAAGCTGGGGAGATGGCTCAGTGGTTAAGAGCACTGGCTACTTTTCCAGACGTCCTGAGTTTAATTCCCAGCAACCATATGGTGGCTCACAACTGTCTATACCTGTAGTCTCATGTGATCTGATGCCCTCTTCTGATGTGCAGAAATACACACAGACAAAACATCCATATATAAAACACATAAATAAATCTTCAGAAAAGACCCCTACAGTGGGTTACCAGGAAAACTGGGTATCTGTGGCTGTGGCTCACCTCAGTGCGGATAGTACGGCTGCCCTGGCTGGGGCATGTGTTGACATAAAAGTCGAAGAGGACACTGGGTTCAGACACTTCCAGGTTGGGGTCAGCATCCACTCCAGCTTCCAGCCCTTGGAGGCCCCCGAACACCACAAGAGCATGCCTGGTACCAGAGAAAGGGAGTCACTGACTTCAAGGCTCCACAGGATACAGTCCCCAGAGCTTCAGGTCCCCACCACATGTACAGTAGGGCCCAGTCCCTGCCCTAAGCAGCACGCACCTGAAGCTAGGCAGCTGGGCAGAGGCTACGTTAGAGCCACGTTCTGATGTCCCAATGGTCAAATCATACCCATCCTGGAAGGGAGCCTCAGCAAACACAGCACCTGGGGGTGGGGCCAGCTCAGTGGGGTCCTGCTCTTGGCTGTGTGTCTAGCACATCACAGGGGCAGGTGGAGAGAGCTCGGTAAAGGAGGTCCTCTACTGCTCTTGGGAAACTGAGGGCAGGGAATGGTGGAGTTGAAGCCTGGCTGGGGAGCACAGGGTGGGCAGGAAGAGCTCCCAAACCCTAGACAATGTTCAGCAGCCTCACACTTGCTTCAGAGGGCTTTCTTGGTCTGGTGTTTGAAACAAGGTCTTGCTGTCTCCTGAGCTGGCCTCAGGTTTACACTGATATTCCTGTGTAGGCCTCCTGGTGCTGGGATGGGGGCTGGGAACCAATCACATCCTGCTCTCAGGTGTTCTTAGCATTCACCGGAGATGAGACCAGAGATGGCACCACCTAAACATACCACCTAGTACAGAGGGACATTCAGGGAAGGAGCTTCTGTCCTTACTGAGACAGGAGGCCAGGCGGACGGTGTAGCCCCAGTAGAGACCGGCTTTGGTGCGGGGGTCCTGTGAAGACACGACTATTCCCTTGTATGTCTTGCATTCTGAGGAACAGAACAGGCTATGAACACCAAGGAGACAGGGAGGCAGGAGGAGGCTCTGAGCCAGGCAACTGTAAGGGCTGAAGAAGCTTCCAGATACCCGGGAGCTGCTTTTGGTTCAGTCGCACGGTCACCCGAAGTCCGGGCTCCAGTTTCTTGTCAATCTTCACCTCCTGCAGAGAAGCTAGAGGAAATGAGTGCTACACCTCAAAGGGGCCAATGTTCTCAGAGACCCAGTGGAGGAATCTGGTGCCAGGCCAACCTACCACCCTGCTTCTGGCACTGAGTGGGGCCTGCTAAGAGGGACCGTTCATGCAGAATAATTATCACAGGGCACTGGTCAGAAAGAGAAGCCTGGGGCTAGGACATGGAGTCTACAAAGAGATGAAGTCGCAGTTTCCTCCACGTGGTGGCTTTGCCACTTATGAGCTGTAGGAGTCTGAGGGCAGTTAACTCCTGTGAGCCTCAGTTTCCCCATCTGTGGAACAGCAGACTATAAACCATCCCAGGCCCGATGAATGGAGGTTACGCCCCTCAGTTCCTCCTTGGCACGTGCATGCTTACCCACACATTCACACCCACATAAAAAGGAAAAATTTAGGGGGCTGGAGAGATGGCTCAGAGGTTAAAAGCATTGCCTGCTCTTCCAAAGGTCCTGAGTTCAATTCCCAGCAACCACATGGTGGCTCACAACCATCTGTAATGGGGTCTGGTGCCCTCTTCTGGCCTGCAGGCATACACACAGACAGAATATTGTATACATTAATAAATAAATAAATAATTAAAAAAAGGGAAAAATTTAAAGAATAACCTAACCCCCAAACCAGCAAAGCTGAGAATGTACTTCAATTACAGAGCACAATTAGATCTCCGCAACAAAAGTAAATAATAAACAAACTGCCCAGACAACACTGGGTTTGATCCTGGCTTCTCTCTATCATTTCTATTTCATGGGTATTTCGCCTGCATGTTTGTTTGGGTATCATGTTCATGCCTGGGGCCCATGGAGGCCAGAAGAGGGCACCAGAGCCCCTGGAACAGTTGGTTTGTGAGCCACCATGTGGGTGCTGGGACCTGAACCAGGGTCCTCTGCAGGAACAGCCAGTGCTCTTAACTGGTGAGCCAGTGCTCCAGCTTCTCTGGGTTCATCTCTCGAGCCCTGCTTTGGGTACTTCTCTGGTCCAGTTAGCAATAACTGGTGTTTCACGGCAGGCTAGAGCCCAGGTCTCCCTATTCTTATGTCCCTGCCTGTCCTCCACAGCTAGCAGGTGTCCTTAAGGTGTACACAGCCCACCTCCATTCCTACCTTTTTCATCCCACAATTAACCAGAGAGCCGTGGCCCGCCTTGGTGGGCCGGTCCACCACAACGCCTTCTCGGAACTCCGATTCCTCGTCCTGCCGCATGTGGTGAGGGCTGTCCAAGGGGTTGAGGATTCCTGAGCAGGGAACGGGAGGGGGATGATGTCAGGTCCAGGCCCCACTCTCAGTGCCTAGGGATGAGCCAGGCACACCAGCCATACCTGCGAACTGCAGATCCTGGTGTTTGGGGAAGAACGCCTTTCTCAGATACCTGGGGAAGAACGTAGTTGTCAGGCCCTCCCTGGGGAGCTGCTTCCCCACTACATCCAAGGGAACACCACCCTCACCTCACACTTACTGTGGACACTCCAGGTACTGCAGGATGCGGGCCAGCTGTACACATGCCTGCCCCTTCTTGCCAACTCCCCTGAATTCCCCTTCCACAGTCCTGGAAAGATAAAGACAGGGCTTAGGATGCAAGTGCTGGGCTGGAGAGGTGGCATATCCAGTTGAGGGCTCTTGCTCCCAACCCTGAAAACTTAAGTTCCATGTCCAGAACCCCCATGAGGAAAGAACTGACGACCTGACTCCACAAGCTGTCTTCCTTATGGTCTTTCTGTATAGACCAGCCTGTCCTCCAACTCAGAGATCCGCCTGCCTCTGCCTCCCCAGTGCTGGGATTAAAGGCGTGCACCACCACCGCCTGGCCTAAATTGTCATTTGATCTCCACAACCACACCAGTGTGTGTACACAAGCACCATAAATAAATATTAAACAGGCACAAAACGGGGTCTTAGAGCTGAATGATAAACAGCTTCAGTGATAGAACATGCGTAAATCCCAGAGTTCAATCTCCAGCACCACAGGAGAAAAAAGATGCAACTGCAGCTGCACCTGAGAACTCCTCCCACCCAGTGTGAGCATCCTTGCCTCTGAGAGCTCCTCCCACCCAGTGTGAGCATCCTTGCCTCTGAGAACTCCTCCCACCCAGTGTGAGCATCCTTGCCTCTGAGAACTCCTCCCACTCAGTGTGAGCATCCTTGCCTCTGAGAGCTCCTCCCACCCAGTGTGAGCATCCTTGCCTGAGAGCTCCTCCCACCCAGTGTGAGCATCCTTGCCTCTGAGAGTTCCTCCCACCCAGTGTGAGCATCCTTGCCTCTGAAAGCTCCTTCCACCCAGTGTGAGTGTCCTTGCCTCTGAGAGCTCCTCCCACCCAGTGTGGGATCCTTGTCTCTGAGAGCTCCTCCCACCCAGTGTTGAGCATCCTTGCCTCTGAGAGCTCCTTCCACCCAGTGTGAGCGTCCTTGTCTCTGAGAGCTCCTCCCACCCAGTGTGAGTATCCTTGCCTCTGAGAACTCCTCCCACCCAGTGTGAGCATCCTTGCCTCTGAAAGCTCCTCCCACCCAGTGTGAGTGTCCTTGTCTCTGAGAGCTCCTCCCACCCAGTGTGAGCATCCTTGCCTGAGAGCTCCTCCCACCCAGTGTGAGTGTCCTTGCCTCTGAGAGCTCCTCCCACCCAGTGTGAGCATCTTTGCCTCTGAGAGCTCCTTCCACCCAGTGTGAGCGTCCTTGTCTCTGAGAGCTCCTCCCACCCAGTGTGGGCATCCTTGCCTCTGAGAACTCCTCCCACCCAGTGTGAGCATCTTTGCCTCTGAAAGCTCCTTCCACCCAGTGTGAGTGTCCTTGTCTCTGAGAGCTCCTCCCACCCAGTGTGAGTGTCCTTGTCTCTGAGAGCTCCTCCCACCCAGTGTGAGCATCCTTGCCTGAGAGCTCCTCCCACCCAGTGTGAGTGTCCTTGCCTCTGAGAGCTCCTCCCACCCAGTGTGAGCATCTTTGCCTCTGAGAGCTCCTTCCACCCAGTGTGAGCGTCCTTGTCTCTGAGAGCTCCTCCCACCCAGTGTGGGCATCCTTGCCTCTGAGAACTCCTCCCACCCA